GCACAAAACTTAAGATTTTTTTATAATTTTCATAATTTTTCTCTTCTTTTTATCTAATAATTTTATATAAGTAATAATGCGAATGTAATTAGTCAAATCATAAGCTATAATAATAGTTTTATACATTTAAAATTTTAAATATAATCAAAATATACATATATTTATATATTCCCGGATCGGATCGGATATCCGCTTCTCAAAATTTTAATATTTGTGATTTGCTTCGATTTTTACGAATATTGATTTTTAGTATTTGCTTCGATTCGAAAGTTTACGGATATCCGAAATTTTCGGATCGAATCGAGACGAATAACGAATCGAATCAAATTTAACGAATAAAATGCCCAGCCCTAATCTTCACATTTTCTCTGACTATTAAACAAAACATTAAACAAAGCAGAAAGAGAGAGAGAGAAAAAAATGCCTCATGGAACTCTTGAAGTTGTTCTTGTCAGCGCCAAAGGTCTTGAGGACACAGATTTTCTGAGTAAGATCTGATCTGATATTGTGTCTGAATCCTTACAACCCTAACTCTAGTTTTGTTGATGGGTTTTGTCTGAATAAAACGTGTTAAATCCGCGAATGTGCACATATGCACGTGTTTTTAAATTCAGTGGAAGATCTTAAATCTAGATGAATCCATTTTATGCAAGTTTGATCACATATTAACGTTCTTCATCATCTGCTAATCATGGTATTCTTATGATCTCTAATTGATGGTTATAGACATGTAAATCTGGATTTTTTTTTTCTTCTCAAGAATTAGATCAAAGATGTTAGATCGGTTGCATATTATTCGTTGACTGATTCGTTATGATGGTTTGTAAACAGATAGCATGGATCCTTATGTGCAATTCACTTGTCGGACTCAAGATCAGAAGAGCAACATTGCATCAGGTATAAGTTCTCTGAATCAAAGATCCTTTTTGTGTTTCCAAGACCTGATGAAGAAAATAATCATGGAATCTTTTCTTGCAGGACAAGGCACGACTCCAGAATGGAATGAGACATTTATCTTCAATGTCTCTGAAGGAACAACAGAGATAAAAGCAAAAATCTTTGACAAAGATGTTGGCACAGAGGATGATCCAGTTGGTGAAGCAACGTAAGATCTTTAAATAACAATCTTATCCATAATAACCATAACTTTTTGGGTTTTAGAACCAAAGTTAAGGAGATGTATGTTTTTGAATGATGTAGCATTCCATTGGAGCCTGTCTTCGTGGAAGGAGATATCCCACCAAGTGCATACAACGTGGTGAAAGATGGAGAGTTCAAAGGCGAGATCTGGATCGCATTATCCTTCAAACCTTCGGTAAAAAAAAACACTACTGAAACAAGAATCTCTCCTTCTTTGATTTGGTGTTGTTATGTTTAGATGCTGAAGAACAATGTGTTTGTTTGTTTGTTAGGAAAACCGAAGCAGGGGTTATGAAGAGGAGTCTTATGGTGGATGGAAAAACTCTGAAGCATCTTACTAAAGAGATTAACACCAAATGTGTTACTGTTTCATTTGTGTCTTTGGGAATAAAATGTTGAGCTTCTTCTTATTATTATTGTTATTATTCTTGTGTCCATTTTGGATTTTATGATTCAAAACTCCTAAGATTTTGATTCTTCTGTCAAGATTTGTTTCAGTTTTGTTTTCAGTGTCCGGACAATCGACTATATCTAAGAAAATATTTTACAATACTAAATTATGATCATAAGTTACATAGTTGTTAGCCACATTCATACATCTACATATGCTAGTGCTTTCTTACATTAAGGTCATTACGCAGCTTAAACTAAACGAGCTTGTTTAGCTTCCTCCAACTGTCTGCTGCGTAGTAGCAACAATGGAAGGTAAGCTTGAACATGCTGCCTGTACTACACATGTAGGATCAAGAGACTTGGATTCAGGTTCTTCATTCTGTGAGAGTCTGATGTTGGAGAAGCTAGGCAATCCGAAATCAGGTAAAGGTAGATTATTACTATCAGCACTCCCTGCATCTGTGTAGTATTGCTCAAGGTACCTGCGGATTACTGAGTCGTCATCCTCCGAAGCTCCGAGAGGCTCAAATGGGAAGTTCCAGCATGGTTCAGGCCATTCAACACTAGAACTACTTCCTTTTCCTCCCTGCGGTTTTCTTGGTGTCGTTTTGCCTTTCCCAAGTTTATCAGTTTGTGCTTCAGTGTCTTTCATCTTGATGTTCTTAGACGAACACGGTTCCTCGCTCTTTTTCCGCTTTTTAGAGCCACTGATGTTCTTTCCTTGTGGGGTGTCAGGACATGGGTTTAAACCAAGCTCAGTGGTGTTGATAAGATCATCTACATGGACAGGGACAGAATGTGAAGTGGATTCTCTAAATGGAAAGAAGACTGGTTTTCTCCACTGATTAGCAGTTTCTTCATGCATAGGTTGAGTTTGAAGAGGCTCTTCAGAAACCTTTGGTGAAGCATTTGTATGCATCAAGTCACGCTCCTGGTCTCTGATCTCAATATTCTCACTTTGTTTGGAATCTTTCTCTACCAAACTATCACCTAAAGGAGGTTCACAGTTAAGGTTGATTTCAATACTAAATGATCCAGGCAAACCCGGGATCTCCTTCGCCTTATCAACCACCACAACATTCTGCAAGTTTCCTTCTCCAAAAGACTCCACTAAGTGAGCCTCTTCCAAATAATTGTCTGCTTTTGAGGTCTCAACTTCTTGAATATTTTCTTCATCTGCAATAGAGAAACAATATTTCTTCATTCACTAACCAGCAAACAAACTTCTCAGTATTATTTTGGTAGTTCCTATTTACCTTCAAGTAGACATTGAGTTATAGCTCTTGACTCCAGTTTCGTCATCCTTTCTGGTTGTAACCGTAGCTACAATAAACAAAACATTATAAATAAATAAAACTCACATCATTACATGTTAGAGAAGAAACATAATGTAGACAAAAATTCACTTACAGGAGTAGAGGGGATGTTAGAGAAACTCTTCACATTTTCTTGGGAACCTTTTTCCTCCACATATTCATTTTCTGACAAATCTTCTTCCTCAGTGTTATAATCATACGTCTTGTAGTTGTAAACCATAGCATTGTAAAGAAAAAAGAGTATCAGTCAGCTAAGATTCTAAACAAACAAAGAAATAAAAACACTAGAAACTTGTAATAGAAACTACAACAACATCTTACAATGTAATCAGTCCCGGTTTCCTCAGAGGAAGAAGCTGCTTCAGATTCCTTAGTGTTCTGACACTGTGGTACCTCTTGCTCCAAACCACTAGACATGTTATTGTCATACAGCTACAAAAAGAAAACATCTTTCACTTCTGATAACAAAATGTGTAAATCAACAAAAACCAAAGATTGGTCAGTTATAATTTATAAATACCTCATAATATGGATTTTTACAATAAGAGACATGAAGCCTTGAAGCCCTTTCTCTCTTAGCCTCCTCTTCAGCTTGTAAGGCCTTTAACTGATACAAAGAAACATTACATAACAATAACATACAAAAGAAACTTTGAAAATAAAGAAAGTGTTGAATCATTCATCAACATACAAGTTCTTTCTTTCTCTGGATAGCGGCTTCTTTGCGCTCACGAATCTCATTCATTCTAATGTACTCAATAACTTGGTCCTTGGTGGAGTGCTTACTACCCGTTTTCAAATGCGTGTAAGTCTAACCAAAATGTGTAAACTTCCATCAGCATGCATTACATCAAAGCCCCAAAAAAAACAAATCTTTTCATAAAGGTTTCTCATTTAGAGGTTAAATCTTCTCAATTAATGGCATAAACTATGGAAGGTTAAAGAAACATGTCTTCATTGAAAGACGAAGCAAACACAGAAGCGAAAAAGAGTGAAGAAGATGCTACCTTAGTTTGGCGACCTCGTTTTAGAGCCGTGGAGTGAACTATCCAACCGGCGGGAAGCCATTCCGGCGTTTCATCCGCCGTGATAGTTGGCGGAAGCTGACGGAGCATTTTCGGTGAGAGTGCGACTGACTGAAACAGAGGGGTTTTTTTTTTTTTTTTTTGTTCTTGTCCGGACTGAAACAGAGGTTTGTGTTTGTGTCTTGGACAGAAGAAAGTTATCTCAGGTCATAAAGTCATCCTTGACACGTGCTGTTACTGGTCAGGTGACACGTAACAGTAAGAACAGATAACTTTGCATGTTAGTCCCTGTAAAATCTTTACTATCGATATTAACTCCAATTGTTTTCTTTAAGACCCTTTAACCCCACAAATTTCAAATTAGGCGTTTCATCTGTCATCAATAATCTGATTTTCTGTAATCTCATGCTGATCATACTTACCTTTGTTTATGAAAGTAACTTAAATATCCCTGCACTAGAATGTCAACGCTTTGTAGAGTGACTTCAAGTTTTGGTGGACCATGTTCCATATAAAATAGACCTTAATCTTATATGTATTTTTCATATTTTGTTGCAGAAGCTATTAAAAGTATTTAAATTGAACCCTTAATTGTGAAGTAAAAAACTGTAAAGAAAATCAGACCCTATGCATTTGCACCTCAGGTACATATGTATAGAACCGGGCCAACCGGCATTGGTAGAGATAGAAAATCTCATGATACAGTATATCTTCTACGATTCGGAAAACTCTTTTAGAATGTTGTTGCACCAAAAAAGGAATTTTAGAAGATAAACAAGTTTCTAAAATAAAAGGAATATTGAGTTTTGAAGCTGTAGAACTATAGATTTGAAAAAGTTATAAATTATTCATTCACACAATCAATATATAAATTTTAAAATTAAATATTTGTTTCGTATAAATTCTTTTATTTTCTTTTAATTTAAGTTGTGCTGTTTATAAGGAAAGAAAATTTACCAGATATTCAAAATACACTCTATTTGGTGGAAACTATCCAATATCTGAGAATATGTCAATAACTATAAATGTTTATGTCCATGCCAAATATACGAAAACAAAATTAATATGGTGACAACATCATAATCAGATTTAATTGATTATAAGCTTAGTTAATGGGGCTAATGTTAGATCAGGTCAAGTTTTCTAATACAGGTTTAGTTTAATATATTACGGATTCACTACAAGAAAACACTGGAAATCCTGACGAACGTTCCGACGGAAACATAAGTGGTCGGAAAATTCTGACGATATTCCGACGACATACCGACCAAAACCACTAAATCGACGTCGTCGGAATTTCGTCGGAATGTTCCGACGGATTACCGACAAAATCGGTTCGTCGGAATATTCCGACGAAATTCAGACAATTTTCCGATAAAATATTTGACCGTTGTGGTCGTCGGTATTTCGTCGGTATTTTCTCACCGATTTCCGACAAAATGGGGTTTAATTCAGGGTATACGAAGATCGTCGGAAATCGGTGAGAAAATACCGACGCAATATCGACGACATTGGGTTTCATTCAGGTTATACAAGATTCGTCGGAAATTCGTCGGTATTTTCCCACCGATTTCCGACGAAATAGGGTTTCATTCAGGGTATACAAGTTTCGTCGGAAATCCGTCGGTATTTTCCTACGGATTTCCGACGACCTAGTTTTAAAATGTTAAAATAAACATAACTCAATATATATTTGGATACCAAAATTATATNATATATATGTATGTATCTTATTGTTTTCATAACATATCATCTTAATACTCATTTACTTACACAAACATATTAATCCAATCTTACAATACTAAAACTATTTTTTAAAAAATTGTGTTATAAATATTTTTTTATACTCAATCCTTATTCAAATACTCTATTTATTAACAAATATATGGATTATTTTTAGTTATACTTTTCTGTATGATTTAGTATAGATTTTTTTCTTTTTTTTAAATATCAATTATCGTCGGAAATCCGTCGGTATTTTCCGACGGATTTCCGACGAATTGGGTAATTTATTTACCCGGGAATCCAAACCGCGTGAAATTTTCACTAAACCGCGAATTAATTTTGGACCGACGGAATACTGACGAAACCGGTTCCGTCGGTATGTTTAATATACAAAAGCCCTAATTTTTTTTCTTCTTCCTATTTTCTCTCTTCTTCTCTTGCGGCTCCTCTCCTCTCCTCTCTCCCCTCTCCAGCGGCTCTCCTCTCCGGCGGCTCTCCTCTCCTCCCCTCTCTTCCCGGCGTCTCCGGCGACTCCTCTCCTCTCCTTTCTCCCCTCTTCCCGGCGTCTCTCCTCTCCTCTCCTCTCTCCCCTCTTCCGGCGGCTCTCCTCTCTTCTCTCCCCTCTTTCCTCCGGCGGCGGCTCTTTTCCGGCGAGATCTGAGTTTTACATCCCTTAAATCATGTAAATTTCATTTCCCCTTTTAATTATTTAGGGTTTAGGAAGTTAGATTATAGGATTTGAGTTAGTTTGATTTGCATGTTTAGGATTGAATGGATAGTTTAGGTTTTGTTAGATTTTTGATTTGCATGTTTAGATTTTTGATTTTTATTGTTTTTTATAATTATTAAAAACGTTTTTATTGTTTTTTATAATTATTAAAAACGTTTTTATTGTTTTTTATAATTATTAAAAACGTTTTTATTGTTTTTTATAATTATTAAAAATGTTTTTATTGTTTTTTATAATTATTAAAAACGTTTTTAGTGTTTTTTATAATTATTAAAAACGTTTCCTAGCTTCTCAGCCTGTCACTGATGACGAGTCTACGGGAGCTTCAACCAACTTGTCCCGACTGCAAATAAACGAGATGGTCGAGAAGGTAATTTTTTTTCATTACTATATTTGGTTTTATAATATTTTTTCCCTTACTAACTTTTAATTTTTTTAGGCGGTTCCTAAAAAGAAAGGCCGTTTAGTCGGGTTGGCCCGTCGGGTTAATGTTACAAGCCGAAGAAGAAGAAGAAGTGTTAAGAGCATACGGCATCCCATGATTCTAGAGGAGTTAAAGGAAAAAGATCAGCGGATTGGTGCCTTGGAGGAGCAGAACGCCACAATCCTATCTCAGCTGGCGGATCAAAAGCAAACGAACCTCGACATATTGGCGAGGCTAGATCGTTTGTTTCCTTCGGGTTCTTAGTTTTTTTTTTGTGTGTTTAAAACTTTCTGAATGTTTTTTTTTATTATCAGTTGTGTAAACTTAAATTCTATAATATTATAAGTTTTTAATTTTAAATTACATTTATTTACGAATTTAAAACAAAAATTTTAAAATGAAAAATTAATATAAATTTATTTTAAAAAATTAAATCAAACTTACCGACGAAATATGTCGTCGGAATATTCCGACGACCATATCCGTCGGAATATACCGACGACATAGTTCGTCGGTTTATTCCGACGACATATTTCGTCGGTATATTCCGACGGATATGGTCGTCGGAATATACCGACGACCATATCCGTCGGAATATACCGATGGATTTCTCTCGACATATACCGATGGATTTCTGATGATGGTGTCCGTCGAAGTGTCGTCGGTAGTTCGTCAGAATTACAGTCTCTCGGAATTCGTCGGAATTCATCGGAAATTGTCACGGATTTCCGACGAAATTTTTTTTTCCGACAAAATGATACCGACGAACCATTTCGTCACGGTTTCGTCGGAATACGCCTATTCTGATGGATTTCCGACGATTTTGGCCGTCGGTATCCTTCTGTTTTCTTGTAGTGATTGATTCCATTAACTAAGCTTAAAGTTAATTAAACCGATTGTGATGTTACCACTATATTAATTTTTACTTAGTATATGTGGCATAAACATAATGTAGTTATTGACATATTCTCATATATTTGATGATTTTCACCATATTAGAGTATACTTTGTGTTGCTACAATTTTTTTTTTCCTTTTCACAATAACAATTTTGAATATTGTTGTTGATATTTATGTTAGAAAAAGCCATGCTCTGAAAATAAGATGTTGTTGATTTTCATGTTAGAAAATGTTAGTGGTTTTATTGGACACCAAAGAGCATAGACTATGATTTCTAAATGCATAGTTATCGCTTTTACTATTACAAGAAAGTGAAATTGTTTTATGTTTATTGAATGGATATTGCTTGTGAATGGATATATTTCTACTTCTCGTCATTGTGTATTGTGTTCATATATGAATATATTTGGTACGTAATTTCTAATAAATTATTAGATTTTCTTGAAGTTTAAACAGTCTAGTTTTGTTAGATAAAGCTGTGCTCTGAAAAATAAAATGTTGCTGATTTTCATGTTAGAAAATGTTATTGGTTTTATTGGACATCAAAGACTTGAAAAACATGAAAGAGGTACGCATGACAAGTATCTGTCTTTTTTTTTCTCTGGTCAAACAATTTCACTTTCTTGTAGTAGTAAAAGCGGTAACTATGCATTTAGGAATCAAAGTCTATAAAATCTTTAAGCACTAGCCAGGTGATGTCTAGTGATTACAGATTTTGTAGACTCTGATTCTTAAATGTACCGCTTTTACTATTTCAAGAAATTGAAATTGTTTTATGTTTATTAAAGTCCACAAATCCATAATTCAATTATACTGTTTAGTGAATGAATATATTTCTACTTCTGGTCATTGTGTTCATATATGAATATATTTGGTACGAAATTTCTAATTATTTATTAGATCTTTTTGATGTTTTAAACAGTCTAGTTTTATTACCAAATCATTGTCTCCATAGATTCATAGTAACAACTGACAAAATTATATCAAGAAAAGAAAACTGCATCGGATATACGCAAACTGAATCATTTGAGTTGGACAAAGACAAAAAAAATTTCTACCTCTGATATCCATTGTCAAAATATAAAAACTACATATCTCGTATATATACAAAACTAAACTAAAATTAGTTTATCTTTTACATACATATTTAGTAATTTTTCCTATCCAGTCCCACTAATTAAATTAATACAACGACAAGACAATCAACTGATACATAATTTTCTTTGTGTGGGGTCTATCACACATAAGATCATATGTTGAGACGAGAGATGCAAGTTTTTCATCAAATGAAAACATAACATCAATGAAATAATATGCTACTTATCATTTGTTGTGAAGAGGGTTTGGACCGCCTGGAGTTTTCTTAAGTGAAACTCCGTAGATCTTCTTGTACTTCTCGCCGGTGCTAACTGCCGGTAGCGTTCTCTTGCTGTCAAATCTTAGTCGTTTGAACCCTTTTTGAAACTCCTCCATCGCCGTCGTGCTAGCTAGCTTGCAGCCGCCTGAGGAGAAATGAAACCTGGCTAAAAGAAAGATCAGAACTATTAGAAACGATAATCTTGTGTTCCAAAGCTTCATTTTCTTTACTCCCGTTGTTTGTGTAATTATGATTAAATTTGGATGAGTTAAGCTTGAGATTTGTTTATTACGAGATGTTGGCATGGACTTGTATTATATGAGAAGGAAACAAACAAAATGCTTATTCAACATAATTAGTAGTTTCAGGGAAAGACGAAATTAACCTTCTTTGGAAATACTCTTAGAATACATGTATAATCCAATCATTTTGTCAATAATTGAAATAACGGCGAAAGTTATTAGACGATAGATGGATGTTTATATTATGCATAGTATCTATGCAAGGATTTTCAACTACGTAACGTTTGTTGTTAACCTACTGATTTTTTTAAGTGTCTTGTTAGCTGATTTGGTCGATCCTGATCCTGGTAGAAAATAGTAAGATTATCTGTTAAATAATGATTTTTATCTTTGCAAAATTGTTAGGTTCAGTCTCAATAATCTTTCATATTAACCTGACGATAATCACATAATAATGAAGAGGATACAAAAATGTAATTTATTAATAGATTTTGAACGTAACTGTAACGAGTTTCTTTTTCATTTCATTTTATAGGTTGCCTTTTGCCGCCATCGTGAAGCGAGAAAACGGTATGTCGTTTGAGACTTGAGAAGCAAGAATTGGATCTAAGGGTATTCATGTAAATATCTCAACGGGTGGAGTGCTCGCGTTGGTCACTCTCCCGTTCGTCAATTTCTTTATCACACGCCATTGACTTGCAAATAATTGTTGTGGACTCCTCAAAACAGATGTTTATGTAACTTTAACAAATTGTTTTTTTTAGTTCAACTTCCATTCATAATACGCATAAACAACTTTTACAACACGTTGTTTATGCGTCTTTCGCTAACATGTAGAAATATCGGTTAAGAACTGTTATACGATGTCCTGCAGCTATAGGTTTTATTGTTCCGATATCACTATTTTCACCAACGAAGTTGCAATAGACGAGTTTTATCCGTTATTTTATTCCTGCTATATACTGACAAAAAAACTGCTATTTCTTTCTTCTCTCGACCAAGATGTATTGTTTATACTTTATAAAATCTTTTTTGTCAATTCCTATAGATTTTCTAGATGTACCACACGGGAAAGAGTTTTGTAGATATAATATTGTATGATTCGCAACATTTAACTTGTTATCTCATTTCCTTAATCTTTTTAATAGAAAGCATTTTATGTCATCAATTGAATCGAAACAAGATAACATAACCAAACTCTATAACTGATCCGTAAAAAAACGTAAAAATGAACATATAATTAACCAAGTCACCTTGGTTTAGTGGTAAAAAGACTTCAACAAAAAAATTTACCCTGGATTCGAATAGTATTGACTACCCGTAGTCATCTTAAATAATAAGAAAAACCAAGTTTCTAAAAATTTCGTAGGATTAGTATTTGGACCTAGAAAAAAATGAATATATAACCATTTGATTAAAAATAATTTCTTTTATTATAAAACATAATGGGAAACTTAAATATTTCTAAGTTTTGCATAGTTCCTACCTACGTGTGTTATATTTAATCTAAGGCTTGTAAAAATAACTAACATATGGTATGCAATATAATACTAATGTGCATGAAAGAAAATATTAATGTGCATACATTTACATACATTTCAAACTGAGTTCTGCGAATTTGTTAGAGATTTTACGGTCGGGACACGTTAGGGATATCTGACGGTGGTCATGCGTCAAACTTAATGACTCTTGATTAGTTTTCTTCATCACAATAAATGGACAAGCTCAATGATTTTTACAAAGTTTCGAATACAATGATTTTTACAAAATTTAGTTTATTACAACAATAATTATTTTAACTAATATGAACAAAAATGGTGAATAAATTAAAAAAAAAATTCATTAAACACACAAAACTTTCATCTTTATAAAACGAAAAATTAAAATGTTCTAGGAACGGAGATAATATATATTGAACAAAAATTATGCCAGTAAAAAAAAATGAAGGGTTTTTTTTATCATCAAAATAAACGAAAACGGGAGACTGAAATCAATGATCTTTTGCATCAGGAAATAACAAAGAAAAGAAACTGGTTTGCTCTGCCGCATGACTTAAGAAGTTGCTGTCAATCGGTTTGCCAACTCAGCCAACGTAGGGTGAATACAGAGACCAAATCGAAAAAAAAGAAAAATCAAGAAATTGGATATAGTATACTCTTACTGCTTTGATGCGTGTTGTGTCAATCTTGACCATTAACGCCCTAACCTAGCTATGCTAATCTCTTGTATTCTACATATGCGTTCGAATACACCACAATGCAAGAGATTATACACGTGACAGTCAAGCGAATGAGGAAGAAGAAAAGTGATTGCAGACCAGTAGAAAGAGAGAACTGGTCGTATTGGAACCATGTCATGAGGAAAGGTGAGGTTTGAACCAGTACTCCAATGTAAAATAATTGGTTATAAGTTTCAAAATAATGTCTTAAAAAAGTTTCTAACATAATGTGAACGTCTAGATTGTGTTCTGAAAAAAATCATTAAAGACGAAGAGGATTTAACAATATAAGTTCTGTAACGTAATTAACAAACAAACAAAACCAATTGTCTGTAATGGTAAGAGAAGAGGGTTCAAGTCTTTATAATAAATCATGGTGCCTTACAATGGTCCTCTGAAGATAAAAGAGTAGAAACAAACAACTTAAGACAGCTGAAATCTTCTAGACACAGAAGAAAAGAAGTTGCCTTAAGGGAAAAGCGGCTGGTGAAGAAGTCCCATTGTTTCTGGTAATCCCATCATTATGTTAAGGTTCTGCAACGCTTGCCCTGAAGCTCCTTTCACAAGATTATCAATCTGCAACACACACAAAGCGATAAAAACATTTATCCTGTACACTAAACGTTTATAGCAGGTGATGGAGGGTTATGCATAGCTTACCACTGAGATTATGATAGCTCGTCCAGGGATACGATCAGGGAACACATTCATAAAACAATAGTTGGATCCTCTAACGTTGTGTGTCCGAGGAACAACTCCTTCCTCCAACACTTTGACAAATTCTTCATCCTACAAAAACGTTTTTTGAAACATAAGCAAACAAAACTAGTAACTGGTTTGGCTTTATAACACAAAGAGTAAACCATCACCTCATAAGAGGATCTTAGTTGCTGGTATAAGTCTTCTGTTTTAACTCCTGGAGCCATTTCCACATATATAGTAGATTGCATCCCGCGGATCTACTCAAACAATGAGGTTCAGTTTTAGTTTTTCACAGTGAAAACTGCAGAGAAGAGACTTGAGATTGGGCTGTACCATTGGCATGAGATGGGGCGTAAAACTGACTGTTACTTTTGATTGTGCAACATCAGACAACCCTTGTTCAATTTCAGGAACTGCAAAACATAGTCAAGAAACACTGAACTCAATATACATTTTTTACTCAACGGTGATAATCAGTTTGTGAATATATACCATGGCGATGGCGTGTGACACCATAAGAAGAAATGCCTTCAGCTATCTCAGAATAAAGATTCGCCTCCTTAGCACCACGTCCTGATGGATAAACAATATCAAATCAGCAAAAAAGCTAGAAAACCTCTTCTACTGGATAATGACTGCAAACTAAGCTCAGACCTGCTCCACTAACACCAGATTTTGCGTCGATGATAATGTTTTCATGTTTGATAAGATTTTCCTGCACCAAAAACAAAACATTATCCAGAGTTGAGTCGACGACAAGAGAATCTGAGGAAAAGGAAAAGAAACCTTTAGAAGAGGAACAAGAGGAAGCTGAACCGAAGTAGGGTAACAGCCTGGATTAGCCACAAGCCGAGCCTTTTTGATGTCATCCCTTAGTAACTCTGTTAATCCATACACAACTTCTTTCTGAAACAAGCAAGACACTCAGTAACACAAGAGACAAACAATCAAAGGAATCACTGCCAAGAGAAAAAAGTACCTGTAACTCTACTGCCTGGTGTGGCTGACCATACCATTCTTCATATTCAGAGATGTCACGCAACCGGAAGTCCTAGAGAAAGCGTTCTTTAAAATAAGATATTACAGAAAGAACGAATACACAAACAAACATATGTTTAGAGCATTTTACCGCTGAAAGATCAACAATTTTTAAAGTGGTGGGAAGTCCCTTGATGATTTCCTGTGAGAGATTAAATACACACTCATTTCCACTGAGCTACGAGAAGCTTAGAAACAAACTTGAGCAATGGAAGAATCAATAAAAATCAAAAAAGGACCTGAGTTGTTCCATGAGGTAAGCAGCAGAAGACAGCATCCACAGAAGAGAAATCTGCATCCTTTACTGAGACCAATCTAGGTAGTTTCTGATGACAGAAAGAAAATTGTTTTTCTTTAAGCATCATTGAAAGTATCATTGAAAGTAAGGAATGAGTTAATACTTGAGCTCTGAGGTGAGGGAAAACGCTATCCATAGACTGCCCAGCTTTTCTATCTGCAGTCATCAGAGTGACACCGAAATGCGGATGGTTTGCAAGAAGCCTAACGATCTGCCATTCCAATTAAAAAATAATAATAATTTTGTTAAAAGCTTAAAGCTGATGACTATGTCAGAGCTCTAAAGCTCTCAGCTTCGCAAAATGTACACTGTTTAAAAGCTGAAAAGGAAAGCAAATACACATAAAGCCACAAACTTGCACTACTTAAAACCCACAAAGTTTCAGTGTTTCACATGTAAATATTGTACAACCTTAAAACCGTTGACAATGAAGAAGCTAAACTCACAGGTTTGCATATGTACAGTAGAACAAAGATGCAAATACCCACAAAGCCAATAACGAGATGCATACCATTTGATTCGTTTCAAAATCAAAAGATATCACTGAAACAAGCAACATTACAAAATGAAATTAAAAACTTGAAATTGGCATTGTAGTTAACCTCAGCACCGGTGTAGCCACTTGCACCAAGAAGACCAATACGAATATCCTTAGAAGCAGAGCTAGTGGCTGAAACTCTGAAGCTCATCGAAGATGGCCTCTTCACTACCTTATCCGTTACTCTAATCTTCCTTTCACCCTTTTGGAAACAGAGAAAATTAATTCAAGTAAAACGTGAAAACACATTTGCGTATCAATATGTAAACTGGAAATACAGAAAAACCTTGAACCAGCATCCTTGTTCGAAGCAAATTGAACTCAATGTCGACGCACTACTCATTCTCGATTTGGAGGATAAAAGAAACTAAATCTTGTTGATTTGAATAAGAAGAAGAGATTGAGTTCGAAAATTGCATAAACCCAGAACAACCTGTCTCTACAAATCTCTCGAACGAGGCCCAGGAAAACACGACAGAGATTACAATGTTGAGGAAAACCTAAAAACGACCGGTCAAACACCGGCTTCCTTGTTCGGTCTGATTTATTATGAACCGGATTAAAGACCGGGTTTCTCATTTGTTTTCATTATTAGAAATACCTAGTGCTGGGCATTTTTCCTGATACCCGAATCCGAATCCGATCTGAATAATCAGAACCAAAATCCAAACCCAAGTAAAAAATTTGTTCTATTATAAATTTGTTCTATTAATATATTTATAATCAATATTCATATATTATCAATAACATTACCACCTTTGGAATCGTAATTAATCAAAATTAATTTTAAATGCAATGGTAGAATATGAAAATAAATACAAAAAAAATAATTTATTGTAATGCAATGGCTAAATATGTAATAAAAGAAACACTAAAAAAAATATGTTATTCATGTTTTTAAAAAATTCTCATTTACACCGTTATCCATATTTCAAAACAGTACCAAAAAAGTACGTAAATTTTAATAATATAGAATAGAACTTGACATACACGTCCGTGCGGCTGTTTAATGTAACTTATATTCAACGTAAACTCACAAAACGCTAATTTTATAAAAAAAAAATATATATATTTTTATGTTTAGATTTACATATATAGTATAATACATTATTTTATAATAGAAATGTTTAATAATAACTTTTTATTTGTTCATAATATTATATTAGAATAACTTGATGTAATTTGATGTAAATGTATTATTCATATATTAACATGTTGTTTTTTGTTAATTTATGTTAAAATGAAACAATATACTAAAAATTATTTTTGCATTAGTTTTCTATGAATTATCATTAACTTTATGATATTTGTTTTCTTGAAAATTGAACTCTCAAAATTTTATATCTGACTAAATTAAATAAGGCAATACTATATTAAATTTTATTTTATATAATATATACTATATACTTCAGTTTGTGTTTTTATTTTCACCACAAAAAAAAAGAAAATCATTGTAACTAATTAATTTAAATTGATTTTAAATGCAATAGCAGAATTTGTAAATAAAAATACAAAAAAAATATTTAATTTATTGTAAATGCAACGGCTAAATGTGCAAACAAAATGAAGTACTTAATATGCTATATTTGTTTCCAAACAGGTCTTATTTATCATGCTATCCTTATTTTCCAAACATTATCAAAAAGTACTTCAGATTTAATAATATAGATTTCTAGTTTACTTCTTTCCTTCTATCCAAAATATTTATATTGATTTGTGCATGGTTCAAAATCATATAATATGCATATAGTTGCTAACAAATGATTTTCTATTTACTTAAAATGAATGTCAATTTCTTATTTCATACATTAAGAAAAGTTGCATTTAAATTCAATCAACATCAACTTAATTAGTGTTTTTTTTTTTCAAAATTTTGTTTCCAAAGTTATTAATCATTTAAGCTATTAAAAAAATTAATGAAAATTTCGATTATTTTTTCCAAAATCTAAAATCCGAACATGAACTAAAATTACCCGAACCCAGTCCGATATGTAACTTACCCAAACGGATTTTAGACCCTGTACCAAAATGCCTGAAAATCTAAAATACTTGATTCAATCTAAATGTTGCCCGAATATCTCCCCTAGAAGTACCAAAAGTTAAATACTATAATTTCAAAAAGACCACAATCAAAAAATTATACTAACATTTGAATTTAGAATTTAATAATTATTATTTAGGGTTTAATATTAAAGGGTCGTTAGTTGAATTTATGAAAGTTCTATAAATATTTTTAAAAATAGGTTAATATTTATTTATCACAAATTTAAGATATTTGTCAAATTAGTCATTAATTAATGGTAAAACTGAAAGTAATACCAAATTTATGGCAGAATTAGAACTTCCCCTTGTATTTTTTCTTTGTGAATATCTGCGTTTTAGTAATTTTGTAACTTGACTTGAACTTGCAAAGAGAGAAACCAATAACACAATCAATCCATCATAAGGTTTACAGAAAGCTAGAAACATACATAGATGTTGTCCGAACATTGACAAACTTTTCTGATCAGACATAAAATGTCGGAAAGCAAAACCGTCAACCTTTTTTTAAGATTTAAACATCACTTTTAGGATTTTTTTGGTCTAGCACTTCACCAAAACTTTAGAGGCCTTGGCTATCTGGGACGCAATCAACCGGAGAGTCGTCATCTATATCGGGTTGTGACTGTGCTCTAATTAAAGCCTTCTTGTAACTGCTTGATCTTCTCAACAAATCTTGTAGGCTCCCTTCAAACCTGTGTTCACAAGACATCAAAGTTTTTATGAGCATATAAGTATCAATTAATACCACTAACTGGTCTCACTTACTTATTTGTTCCTCCAGTCAGATTGTTTCCTGCAAAGATCAACCACAGAAAACTTAGCATATCCGCTAGAGAGATAAAGTGCATATTATGCTATTTGGGATTAATATGGTTGGTTACCTTGCTGCTTCCTAGACATAGAAGTCACATCACTATCATTGTCAGATGAATAATCCGATGGTGTTTTAGTGGAGACATTAGAAGTCTTTTTATATTCATCCTCTGACGAATCACTCTTCTCAGCATTCTCGAAGAAATTGGTCTTCCTCTTGTCCACTGCGACCGGTTTAGAGCTTTTCTTTACGTCTTGTTTCTTGCTGCTGACAGTGGTTTTCACTGTTCCACTGCGTCCATTTTTAACCACTGACTGCAAATGACTAGCACCTGAACTAGCTGGCTGTTGACCTCTAGATTTTTTCTCTTTCGGTTTTGCTGAGCTCACTGAACCCGCAATGGAACCACTTGGATGAAGATCAAGCCTCTTCTTCTGCTTTTTAGATTTAGCTCCACCAGCCACTTGATCTTGCTTCTCTTGATTTGGGCTGCAACCAAAATTATCTCCCATATCAATCTTCTCTATTGGGATTTTCTTGGAAAGGCTTTTATCCTCTGCAATTTCAGGACTCTTTTTCAAAAGTGAAGCATCGCTCTCAGCATCTTTCTTAACTGGCGTGAATAAGGTATCAGTGTCTTTAGGGTTGTTGATGAGAGGAGTCTGCTCCAGGGCAGTAGTGTTTACCTCAACTGCCAATACTTGGGACTCTACAACTTTTGAAGAGTGTTTTTTCTTCAATTTCTTGCTAGATTTCTTCCCAGTTGTGTCCAGATTTCCCTCAGTTTCATTCTTTTCCTGCAGAGAATCTAGTATGTTTCTGATAACATTATCAGTCCCTTCTCCATCTACAGCTTCGATAGCTTCAACATTCTCTGCACCAGAGGCAACCATTGTATCTTCTTTAGCTGGGGTCTTGACTCTTTTCGACTTTTTCTTCTTAGTCGTCTTCACAGATTTAGCACCATCATCATCAATCTTCTCAACCATCTCATTTCTCTTGATATTCTCTGCATCACTTGGTATAGCTTTTCCACTTCCAACATCGTCATCAATCTTCTCAACCATCTCATTTCCTACACAAGCAAATATATCATATAAGTTTCGAAACACTCAACAGTAACATGTTATAGTATACAAAACTCGGCCAAGAGTCAACAATAACATTACGAGTTCAAAACACAAACTCCTTGAGATCTGATTCCGAAGAAAAATCAAATTACCTTTCTGACTTGATTCTGCAACGGTGCCTACTGACATAGGAAGAGATGCATGAGTAGCATCGACAGGATCTACATTAGCAGGTACTTCATTTATCTCATTCACAATATCTATTGAAGTTGTAATAGCAGCAGAAGCAGAAGATTGATTGATGTCATCTTTTGATCTCTTCTTTCGCTTTTTCTTTTTCTCTGTGTCTGGTTTGGTTGTCAACACACTGTTAGTGTCCAAAAGATTTTCTGGGTTGCTCGCTATATTATCAGTTTCAATTTTATCTCTTCCCTCATCTTCGACAGATTTCTCAACCATCTCAGTGTCTACACAGAATAGACATACGCATTATCAGTTGATAATAGAAACACTACAAGAATGCACTATGCATATGAAAATAAAATTCAGTAACAAACTAGAATTACCTTTCTGACTTGCTTCTGCAAAATGATTATCAAGATTTTCTCTTCTTGAGATTAGAAGAGATTCAGGAGCAGCATCAACATGATCTACATTTGCAGAAACTTCATTTATCTGATTCACAATATCTCCTGAAGCTATAATAGCAGCAGCAGCAGCAGAAGATTGATTAATATCTTCCTCTACATTGTTGCAGTCCAGGTGAATTTCCGTTTGACCCTCTAGATTGTCAGTTTCAGCTTTATCTCTTGCTACGTCATCGACGGCCATATCATTTTCTACAAAAATCACCAATAACATTATGAGTTGATTATACAAACTATCCCAGAACTGAACGTAGAAATTAACGAGCTGAAATTACCTCTCTGACTTGCTTCTGCAAGAGGATTGTCTCTTGAGATTGGAAGAGATTCAGGAGTTGCATCAACACGATCTACATTTTCAGGAAGCCCAATCTCGCCCACAGTAACAGTAGCAGAAGACTGATTGATGTCGTCTTCTGATTTCTTCTTTCGCCTCTTTTTCTTCTCTGTGTCTGGTCTGGTTGTCAACCCACTGTTAGTGTCAACAAGATTTGCCGGTTGGCTCACCAGATCATTGTTCTCCGTTTTATCTCCTCCCAAATCCTCGACAGGTTTCTCCCCCATCTCAATCTCTACACAGAGTCACATATAGCATTACGCCTTCATAGTAGTATAACAAGAATCACTATCTATCTATACCATATAACTAAAAAAATAGCTTACCTTTTCCTCCTGTTGTTTCCGTAAGCATATCATCTAGTTTTTCTCTGGGTGAAGATTCAGAAACAACATTTCCACACAACTCATGACTCCCATCACCATCAAATCTTGAAACAGTCGTAGCAGCAGCAGCAGATTGACTGACATCAACCAAAGGTTTCTTCACACTTGTTTCTCCATCCAAACCTTTCACCTTCCTTTTCTTTCTCGGCTTCTCAACTACATGAGTTTCCAAATCTTCTTCAGGAGTCTGGTTCTTGGTATCTAAAAGTAGAGAATCAGTTGCAATCTCCTTGTTCTTCTCAACCAACTCATGCTTCGTCCCACTTTTTCCACCATCCGAACTTCTCAGCTTCCTCTTCTTTGCCATCTTCTCTGCAACTAGAGCTCCCAAAACAAGAGAACCATTTGCAATGGCCTTGTTCTTTTCATCAGCATCATCCATCAGCTCACACTTGTCAACCACACTCACGGTAGCATCCACAGACAAAAACCAGCAGCTATCACTGACACCCTCGAAAGCCATACTCAAATACATAGAATCAGGCAAGTGAAAATCCACAAGGAGACCCAACGTATTCTGACGTTTAACCTGGAAAAAAAACAAAACTCATTTTAACTAAACCGAATCATTCGTCTATGAAAACAAACAAAGACGTTACGTTACCTTAACTGCAGAGATACTGATTTCTCCAAGTTTCGGGAAGCATTGAAAGTGCTCTTTGCATAGTTTCTCTACATGCAAAAACCACCAAAAAAAATCATGAGATTCAATGTTGTGTGTGTAGAGATTGAGAGAGAGAGTTAGTGGTTTCTTCTCTCACCTTTGAAATCGGAGATGGTTTCATTGTTGTGAACGGGAATAGCGAGACGAGTGTCTAGGTTTGTCTCTACGTATACGCAGTTGATCTCCGGCGATTCTGTTTCGGCCATTATTCTACAGGTTCAGAGGTACGACGAAGAAGAAGACGAGTGTGGAGAGAGATGAAGCGGTGGTGGAGGAAATCGAAAAGGTGTGTTTTAGGGTTTTTGATTTTTTTATGATTAATCTGGTTTGTTGTGATGTTTATATAAATATGGTTTATTTTTCCATCGTTACATTTTTTTGGTATATTACTATTTTCTGCATCGGTATGGAGAAAACTCTTTATGAATTCATTTATTAAATGTGGTTTCCAAGAAAAGGAATAAATGAAAATATTCAACATGACTCTTGATCACATTTCTAATTGTATAATCGAATTTCTAAACTTATTTCTTTGTTGACACATTTCATAATTGAATTAAAAAATAAATAATAATGTAAATTTTTGTATTCAAACTCACATAAACCACATCTTTCACAGTAATGTTATACATTTTCTCTAGACTAAGATATGATTAATGTAGATCAACAAAACCCGGTTGGGTTATTTTCTGATTGGAATACCGGAAATGCCTTTGAGACCCATCTTAACCGCGGTTTTACGGAACAAGGCAGGAGGCTTCTCTAAACCAATAGAATGGCAAAACCGGTTAGCTAACTCAGCCAAAGTGGTTTTATCTCTACCGGTTTCTCGAACCGAGTTGTAGTAACCGAGCCAAGCATGGTACGCTGCTTCTTTAATACTTGTGTCAATCTTACCCATTGACTGATCAACCTGCTCACACACAAAAAAACAACACTCATCCATCAATATCCGGTTTATTCCGGTTAAAGGTAACAGCAGTAACAAGGATTCCAAAACAAACCTCGTGTTTAAATCTTGAATCAAGATCCGGAACGGGAACTGGTTCAAGAGGCAAGTCTTTAAGCTCATCAAGAAAGTATCTCTCCCATGGAGCAATCAAAAGCAACCCTTTGCCTCCTTTGCCTTCTCTCCCGGTTCTACCAAGCCGATGTATATACTGTTCTCTATCACTCGGTATACCAACCTATACCAACAACACGATAACCAAGTTCCATAAGAGATTGTTTTTGATATGAAACAAGTTTAGCTTTTGTGCTTTACCTGAATAACCAAAGTAACATCTGGATAGTTCATTCCACGAGCAGACACATCAGACGTGACAAGAATCAGTCTTTTCGATTCTTTGAACTCGTCTGAGACACGTGTTCTGTGGAGCTGTGGTTTTCTGGCGTGGATCTCCCTAACGTTCAGCTTCATTTCCCGGAGCAGAGTGTACATCAGTGATGTTACCATACCGGTTGAACAGAAGACTATTGCCTGAGAGAATGAAACTGAATAGCTGAGAGAATTGTAATGGTATGACATGAGAAAGTGTTTGTTTACCTTATAATCGGCTGTGTTGTTTATGTGCTCTTTCAAAAGATGAGGTACTAAGTGGAAATGAGATTCGTGTGGAGCAACAAGAAAAGACTGTTTCACCTGAGAAACCAAGGAGCCAGAAACTCAATAACCAGATCCAAGCATCAGGCTTTTAAGACAAAAGAGAAGAGTTAAAGGGTTACCTTATCATGAGTCTCTACACAACCAAGACCAATTGTGTCGATATACGAGTGATCTCTTTTCAAAACAAGCTGAGATACTCGACGGACCTGCATTAAACCGACTTTAAACCGGATGTTTTTATTGCATTAGACTTCATGGTAAGTGAAAACATTGAAGTTAACTATACCTCTTTTGGAATGGTTGCAGAAAAGAGAAGAGATTGTCTTTGACGTGGCAAACAATCTATAATCTTTTCGACATCCCTCCTGAATCCTAAGTCTAGCAAGAGATCAGCCTCGTCCACTATAAACAATCTAAGCGCCATCAAACGTGACGTTATGTTAGACTTATTCTCTATATGATCCAAAAGTCTCCCCGGAGTTGCAATTAGTATCTGCAACAAAGAGAACAAGATTAGCCACAACACAACGAGTAGCAAGTATTGCAGAAAGGAATCATGAGCGGTCAAAACCTGGCATGGGTCGGACTGTAGGCGTTGCTGATCAAGTTTGAACCTTGTACCTCCAATCAGCGTCTGAACACCGATTCCTTCATGGTATTTGAGAAGAGCCTTGCCTTCTGCAGCTATCTGGCTTGCAAGTTCTCTTGTGGGACAGAGGATAAGAGCGATTATTGGAGGAACTCTGTGAACACTATTACTGCCCTCCATAGCTTTCAGAACTGTTTCAATTGCAGGAAGCTGTTTTTCTCAATTTAACAGCGTTATCTAAAGTAACAACAAAAGCTAATGTTCATCATGGGACAAGAGATTTTGAAATACCAAAAAAGCCATGCTTTTCCCTGTCCCGGTTTTGGCTTTGACCAATGCATCTTGACCTGCTTACACATGAAGGATGATTCTTTGTCAAATGCTAATCCTTTGAGCATAGATAAGGAACAAACAAGAAGGATGTATACCGTCAAGGCACTCAGAGAGAGTAGCATCTTGTACTCTAGTCATCTTGACAATACCAGAAGCAGAAAGGGCCTTTAGAGTCAAAGGAGATATACTAGACTCATCAAATCTGTAAAACAAACACTCATCAAGATCCAAACCAAAAGCTTTATACGCAGTGCATGTTAATATACCTTTTTCCACTGTAAATTGAGTCACTAGGCTCTCCATTCACCTCCATTATAGTCTCCACAGCTTTCCTTTTACTAAGACCATCTCTAACATCATTAATATCCAACGGAGGATAAAGCTCTTCCTCACTGACATTCCTCTGCACTCTCTTTATCAATTTGAAATCATGGTTCCCTAACGACGCACTGCTTCCTGTTCTCCTCACATCCATCCACCCATCCATCTTCCCATTCTCCTCCTCCTCGGAATCTTCTTCAGTCGAACTATCATTCTTCCTAAACTTCCTCCTACCACCAAACAAACCTTTATTCCTCACAACATTACTCACACTCTTCACCTTCTCCTTCTTCCCAACAAACCCAGGAGAAAAAGGACTCAAAGTATCAAACTTTCTAACATCAAACTCATCCCCTTCATCACAAGAACTCTCATTTCTCCTAAACCCTAAACCTCTCCTCATACTCGAAAACCCTCTCCTACTATTACCAAATCTCCTCACATCAATTGACGAACTTGACCCTAACCCACCACTCCCCACACGATTCAACCTCGACCCATGATTCACTTTCTTACCAACAGGCCCATCGTCTTCGTTCCACAGATCCTCAGCTCCGGTTTTCATAAACCGATCAGCCAAGGATTTGATATGTTCTTTCGGACTCAACGGTCCGTGACTCTGATTCGATTTCGCCTTGTTTTCGTTGGAATCGTGGTTTCCTCCTCCTCCAAGCATCTTGGCTCGGATCTCTGACCGGATTCGAGCTTCGTAGAGCTGCTTCTCTTGGTCTAGGAGCTTGGTCTCTTTCTCTCGGGCTTTCTTCTCGTGCATACGTTTCCATTGCCACTTGTTGAGTCCTCCCGGGAAGGTTCTGGGGCCGCCGCCCATGTGGCGGGAGAGGATTAGGGTCCATAGGGATCCGGATCGTTCCCGGAGAATCGTTGAGTACATTTTTATCGGTGATTCTAGAGATTAAAGAAGAAGAAGAGAAATGGGACGGAAGGTTTTAGACTTATTAGGGTTTAAGGTTGTGATTTTAAGCGCTTCTTCCTTCACTGATGTTAACCGGTTTGGTTTTATGAAATAAATCGGTATGTGATTGATCCGGCAGTAGAAAAAAAGATTAATTATGCTATTCTGTTAAATCCTTGGCTGGTCGGTTTAACCGATAAAAAGACCATATTTTTGATGTCAGTTGCTTAGTTGGTTAGCCTTTCCAGCCCGGTTTTCATGAGACTTGGATCTCTAATTTAACCGGGAAGTCTTTTTAAGTCAATTATTTGGTTTAGGCATTAGCCTATCAAAGATTCAAAATCTAAGATTTTAGTAGTCTTGTTAACCTCACATTTGTAAATGTTTGATGAATAAAACCTAGACTTTTGAAAAATTCGCATCAAATTTCCATGTGTTAGTTCTATCTGTTTAAGTTCATTGAAGGAAGGTTGTTGCTCTTGAGCCTCTTTAGACAATCTCTTCTTGTAAAACATTCACTAACATAGAATGAAGATCTTCTGAAGCTTCACAGAAATCAATGAAGATTTACATTAGCAAAGTTTGAGTTTCTCGCACAGCACCCAACAAAGTAACATTGCATCGGTTCTCTCTATTGGTTGGAATATAACAATGCTGATGTACGCATCTGTTATGCATGTCTCTATGTTAAAACTTAAAACTCTGTTTCCTATGGTTTCTTTTTGTCTTTAGAGCCTAACGGGTACCTTAAACTTTTCAGTTGGAAAAATATTTTTCTTTGTAACCTTGAAGTAGTTGTGATATTCAATCATAATACAGTTGAACTAGTATTTATATTTGGTTTAGTTAAACTTTTATGCTCATAATTGGTGTGTACCAGTATACAATATAGGAGTTCTTCTCTATGATCATTATATCATATATAATTATGTATTTCAGGTGTGAGGCAGGCCAATGAGTGGCAAGGAAGGTTTATGATCAGCTTAGTTTCTAATTTCCAGCATACTGAAACATCGGTTCTTAGCTCCAAGTATGTTATGGCCTCATTCACTACACCCTGCTTTATATGCAGAGTAAGAGCAGGCAACTTCCTTAATATTATTAATCATTTATATCGAGAAACTTATTTAATAATAAACGCAAGTGAAAAACAACAACCTTGAAGAGAAAGTAAAGTGACATGCACCAATTCTCTGATTATTTAGAGAATAAAAAAGAACTTAAAAGAGAATTAATACAAAAGCCAAAATGCTTTGTTCTTGAAGTCACCAGTACTCAATCTGTATGTTCAGATTCTCGACGATCTCTTCTAACATGATTTTTATCCTTCTTTTTCCCCCTTGCAGGTGCCTTCATCAAAGGCTTCTCCACATCGCCTGAGATGTCAAGATGAACGCCTGGATCGTGAGTCTCGTACTTTGCCCCCATCATGATCGAGTTGTTCACAGCTTGAAAGTTGCTGTTAACAAAAGTGGTCAGGGAATCTAGCTCGTGGTCACCATTTTTGTAGTTGTGTGCATGGTTGTCGTCAAGCTCAGTCTTCATGGTGGCTCCAAGGTTGGTTCCAGAAAGCGTGATGACTCCTATGCCATCTTCCTCCTCTTCTCCATATTGGCTCGGTCCTGCCTTGTCTGCTCCCATGTGGGTTAACGAGGAGATCATGTTTTTAAGATCGTGTTCGAAGTGTTGTTGTCGCTTGTGCTTCTCTGCATCGCCTCTTGACTCGCTTAGCTTCATTATTTTATCTCGGGATTTCTACACTTGAAGAATAGATGGGAATGCAAGTTATGGAAGTGTACATCTCTAACTATATATTTATACAATATCAGAGCAAAAGCAGTGCCTTGTGTTGCAATTAAAGGATTGGAATGGAATGACTTTGGAGTGGGTTTAAGAATAACTTTTTTTGGAGATTGACAAAAATGGTTCAAGTATCATATGATAAGATGTTGGATTTAGATACTTAGATGATGGATTGTGATTAAAACCGTTTTTGTTTTGCAGAACGAGAGATGTCTTAACTGATTTATTTTGTCCTTTTTCTTAATTAATCAACATTATATATGTATAAATTTAAAATGTAAAAACCCATGAAATATAACAAAAATTATCTAAAGATTTACCTGTAATAAAAATTATCAAAAAGGTATAAATGTAAAAAAAACAAGAAAATAGAATAATAATTATATTTTATCTAATAAAATGTAATAACAAATCTTTAGATAATTTTTATTATATTTTTTAAAAATTTAAATATATATATATAATGTTGATGTTAAAAAAAATCAAACTCATATATTTACAGAAAGTTTTAAAATGCAAATTTTGAAAATTGAAATTAAGAATTTTTGGATAATATTATTATATTTTGAATTTTTTTATTTTTTATTTTAATGATAAAACTTCTAAACTAAAGATTTACCAGTAATAACTGTAATTATGACCGACAAGATTTTAATTTATTAAATAAATTTAATTTTAAGATCAGTTGATTCTTTATAAATCAGACATTACTTCAAGACATAAATGTTAAAAATCTTTTTTGCTCCTACTATAGTGACAACTTCTTGTCTTGTTGTAATGTCTGATTTATAAAGAATCGACTGATCTTAAAACACTTGTTGTCCTTGCTAACTCATCTAGTATTTTGTTCTAATTAAAACAAATAAATGTTCTAGTATAACAAAAAAGTATCTTCCTTTTGTTTAATTACAGCATATATATATATATATATATATATATACATCAAAGAAATTATTTATTTGTATGGTCAAAAATTAGACAAAATCATATAAACAAAGCAAAAAAAAAAAATCAAGGCTCGCAAAAATGACACTACTTACATCTCCCACAACACAAACATGGTTGGAAAAATTACTATCTTGTATATAACTTTTTCTATGAAATTCAAACAGAATTTAGACTATTCCTTTAATCAATCCATACACAGTGACAAGTGTTACAACGAGTGAGTGATCGATACGTGGCTTCACCTCCAAAGTTAACACATCTTCCCCCAATATAACTCCATTTGATGATTGTTTTGGCTTTACCTATAAAATTAGTTTTATCTGTTTAGTATTTAACAATGCACTCTTTCAAATTCAATAATGATTTTATTTTTCTATATATATATCTACCTTTGCAATGATGTTTCCATGGACGTCTATTATCTGAAAAGCGAATTTGGGATCAAATCTTAAAATCCAAAAGACTTCATTGGTCTCATCTCGAACTTCCCAATCTCCATCTCTAACACATGACCTTTTGATCTTGACAAAAGGTTTTACTTCCTCAGTGCTTGACAGCGTCTCACATTCTCTATACACATACCAACTCCCAAAGAACCATAATTTCTGCAAAAGATATTTAACAAGAATTATTTAAACATAAATAGAATTATCTTTTTTTAAGAGGCTTCCATATTATTATTACTTTTGTGCAACTTCTTCCATATTATATAACTAAAGAAAAAAAAGGTTCACAACCCCCATTGGGTTTTGTACAGTCCCCCACTTGAGCCTCTTTACAATAAAGCCCAATGCCCACATGAATCCTTGATATAAAAACATATATAGGATTATTCATATTTTGTAATCATCATTAATATAAGAACATCCATTTCCTCGGAGGAAAACTGAGTCATACTTAAAGTTTTTATATTATGGTTGCTTTACTCGTTTTATATAAAGTTTCAAAAGGAATTTAAACTTTCAACTAGATAAAAAAAATTTGAGCTAAAGAAACTTCAGCTAATTCGTTTTATATTCATGAGAGTAGCTTTTAGATTCCCTCTAACTTCGGTTAAGTTTTTAGTTTACTGCAAGAGAACCGGTTACTTAGTTTCATGACTTAAACCGGAATAAATCAGGGAGAAAGGAATGAGAAGAACTAGAGAACCGGGATTTTGATTATTTTGGAGATGTATTTTCATTTGAACTAGAGAATCTTTCAACTAACATTTCTTTTAAATATTTTCATTAGAAATAGTTCATTAGTTACCTTTTTGCGGATGGTGAAAAGAATGTTTCCATGGAGATCCATGATGTGCACTTCATTGCTAGATTTGTCATAGTTTTCGACCCGGTACGTAATCTCTCCGTTGGAATTGTAAACCGTTAAACCATTGGTTTGATAAACCAGAGACTTCATCCAAACCGTGAAAGTCTCTCTTTCCGTACTCATGTACGGTGAAGAAACGCCTGCTTGAGGAAAAACCCTAGCCATGTTTAGAGAAAGACGGAGAAAGAAGAGAGAAGAGCGATTGTATATATATCGATGTATCTTCAACAGCTAATATATTTTGAAAATGAAGTTGAAGTTGAAGAAGTCTTATACACCTCAATGATATAAATTTATATGATAAAATATATAAGCCTTCTTTTACTTATCTATTTTTTAAATAATAATGAGGATCACTTTGAATTTGTCTAATTTTCTCCCAGTGCTTTATTCATGTACGGTGACTAATAATTTAATATTTGACATCGCAATTGTATATATACATATGACTTTCGTTTTGTCATAATATAAACGTCGCATTTTCTCTTTTTTATAACAGCTGATAATCTATATATTAGTAATGTTTGTTTGGTAAATAAATCATATATTTATGAACTTTCTTTCACATGCCTCTGCGGAAGTAGAATGTACAACAAAACACACACTTTATGACATTTTTTCTAGATATACAAAAATATCATTTTAGAATTTCAAAGTAAACTATAATTATTTCTAGCTTAATATTAGTTATAAACTGTTTAGTTTTATATATAGTTTTATTTATCTCCAATATTATTAATTAAATATGCCTAACTAATAATATATATATATATATATATATACATTTTTATTATTTACAAAGCGAAATGAAAATTAAGATGACATTAACTTTTGCTTTTAAGAAACATTGCACTAACTTTACATATTAGGAATTAGGTGTTAGTTCTCTTCAAGCCGACAAATGTCAATTGATTGTTTCGAAATTAATTAAAATATCATCTTTCTATTAAATGTATTATTCTTCTCACAACCTCCCACCGTTAGCTCTCATTTTCAGGTTTGCTGTATTTTTTTTTTTTTTGAAATTAGGTTTGCTGTATTTTATGGAAATTGTTTTATGTAGTATTCATTTAGTTATATATCGTGATGTCATACACAAAGTATATATAATTAAAAAGATGAAGATATATTTATAAAAGGAAGATACATTAAAATATGAGCACCGCATTTCACAAGTTTTATATGTTGATAGTGGACTTATCTGCGGGATGTCCTTAATTTGTATTTAATATATGAGTTTCTCAATGAATGGTTACGTGCGATAAGAGAAAAAAGAGTTAATTTGTCACTCAAGGTGATGAGACGAACATGAATAAGATATCACCCCAAAATATTCTTAACTTCATCATTGGAATCGACTCAGCCCACAAACATAATTTCTAGTCAGTTTTTTTTTTTTTAAAAAAAAAAAACAGAATTTCTAGTGGATAATTAATCAGTTTATCTGAATGACTCACAAAGTCAGTACGTAGACATTTCATTAATCTGAATTATCCTCCAAATTTTTTAAAATTAAGTAATGTTTATCATTCGGTATAGTGGGTCACACGTTTCATTCCATGCCACAAATTACACCATTTTCAAAGTTTAGTTTATATTGGGCGACATAATTTAAATACTTAGTACGTACATGAATTACGTAGTTATTTATCACATACGGTTAAAGAGAACGCACTCATATCATTCTTAAGAAGAAAAATATCATGCGCGACCGTATAAACTAATCTATTAAAGGGTACAATATTAGAAAAAGACCCCCACATGTGTATCCTTATTTAGTATGGGACCCTAATGTTTGACATCATTGCAAATTCAAACATTTAAGAACCTTATAATTAATTTGAGAGTCTAAGTTTGGGCATGTTTTGTCTCATATCGTTCATAAATAATGATGAAAATTGTTCTATCAATTTTTTCTCTTAAATGCTAAAGTGAGCTAGCGATTAGAACACTATTGTTTGTTTGTCGGGTGTATGTAATTGTATTTAATTGTTTCATCGTACAATCTTTTGGGGTTAACAATGAATATCATCTGCTTTTCCGGTCATTTAATCAGGTACAACTTTGTGGGTTGCACTGGAGATTTATTCGTTCTCGTTGTGGTTAGCTTTATAGATGGTAAGTAACTTAGTGATGGTCTTGATAGTAATAGTTAATTAGGTACTAACCCGCACGGTGGACAAAATGAAATAATTTATAGATTATATATGAACAAAACTTAGATTCATTCGTTAGGGTGAATTTTTAAATTCACGTCTTCTTCTAAAACCAATTAAAGTGTCACTAAGATAAGACCCGCGCCTTACGCGGGATGAAACTATTATTTTTATTATATTTTGAAAAATCAAACAATAGTTCGATTTCATTCGGATTAGAGGTGTTCAATCCGGATATCAGGTTTCGGTTCGACTCGATTTTTTGGTATTTTGACTATTAAAATATAACTACTATTCTAAATCTATATGTACTTCAGTTTGATTTGGTTTATATACCTTCGGTTTTCATTTTATTCAATTTTATACCAAAAAACATGATTATTTAGTTTGAGATCATATTATATATTATACAAATATTTAATATGATCATATTTAGAGTCATATTGTCACATAGTCATTTATTAAAAAATATTATATATTTAAATAAAAGCATAAAAACAAAAAAATGCTTCTATCATCTAATAAAATGATCAAAGAATTAATATCAAAACACTAAATTTTGAAAATAAAAATAAAAAACAAAACAGAAGCATGAAACAAAGTTTTTATATTCTTCCATATTTAGTGTTCATCAAACCAATATGTCTTCGATTGAACACAACTCTGCTTGTTTAAAGATAAAAAAAAAAAGTTGTAAAGAATTTCAACTAATTGTTGTCCATCAAATTTATAATCTTTATTTCAATTTAGTTACTGTTAAAAAAGTAAAAGATCAAAATAAGAAGTCTAAGTTGTAATAAATTGTTAGCTATTTACAAATTATAATTATAGTTCAAGTCATGTAACAAATAGATATTCATGCGTCGTTATAAATATATACATATTTACATGTTTCAGTTTAATCGGTTATAAATCAAACCATATCCAAATCCTATGGTTTTTATAAAATCACATCCATTCGGTTTGTATGGTATATACCAAAAATAACCATATTATCGATTGTTAATATCTTTTAAAAATATAAAATTAAAAAAAGAACTAAGATATTTAAATCTTTGATAACAAAAATTTTCAATGTGAAAAATTTAATAATTTCATAATTTATAAATGTTCTTGAAAATTTATTGAGGATTTTGAAATTAAAATATTTATGTAATCTTATATGGTATATAGTTTAATCTGTATATATATTTGTTTTATTATTGAATGATACTTTTTACTTATATGGTTTTAAAATCATGTATATCTTTTTATAATAAAAATGTTAAACTATTGATCATTAATTTTTAACATAANGTTCTTGAAAATTTATTGAGGATTTTGAAATTAAAATATTTATGTAATCTTATATGGTATATAGTTTAATCTGTATATATATTTGTTTTATTATTGAATGATACTTTTTACTTATATGGTTTTAAAATCATGTATATCTTTTTATAATAAAAATGTTAAACTATTGATCATTAATTTTTAACATAATAATTTTAATAGTCGTTTTTTTAAATTCAAAATATAACCTATACGAAAAAATCTAAAGTTTAATTTTATAGCTAATTTGATTGTTTAATTGATTTTAATAATATAAAATTAAAGAAAAAATGATGGAGGATATATAAACTGTTATCAAATATTTATTATTAGAATCATTAAGTGTCATATATATATTAGTCATTTATGGTAATTCCGTAGGTTTTATTTATGGAAAGAAAAATAAAATAGTAATTATATCTAGGGGAATAATCATAAATGCTTCTATCATAAATATCATATCATATCATCATATCATATAATTTGACCAACGAATGTATCTAGCGACATATAAAAATTGAATATGGACCTACTTATTTTTCAATTGAATGTAATTGACTACCTAATTGAGTGACACCTAAGCATGAGGTCTTTTTTAATTATTACAAAATTGAGGTTACAACTTTTTAAACGTTTCTCGTTTAATATATAAGGGATATGATAACTAATTAAAAATATTAAATTTATTTAAGAAAACTAAAAATAAAAATAACGCCAATTTAATAATGGTGACATCGTTAGCTAAACTGTAAACCCTAAATCTTAAACTTTAAATCCAAACCTTAAACCATAAACTCAAATCTTAGATCCTAAATCCAAATTGTATACCTTAAACCCAAAATCCATATCCTAAACCCAAAATTTAGATCATAAACTCAAACCATAAACTCTAAACTCAAATTATATACCCTAAACCTAAATCTTAAACCCTAAACCCAAATCCAATAGCATCTAGGTTTAGGGTTTGAGTTTAGGATTTACGGTTTGGGTTTAAATCTAGAATTTGGGTTTAGGGTATACAGTTTGGGTGTCGAGTTTAGGATTTGGTTTAGGGTATAGGGTTTGGATTTAAGGTTTATGGTTTGGGTTTAGGGTATGCATTTTGGGTTTAGGGTATACAACTTAGGTTTAGGGTCTAGAATTTGGGTTTAGGGTTTGGGTCTAAGGTTTAGAATTTAAAATTTAGGGTTTACGATATAGTTAAAGTCGCCAGCATCATTAAAATTGACGTTATTCTTGTTTTTAGTTATTTTTAAATGAATTTAATATTTTTTAATTAGTTACCTATGTGGCATTTTGATTGGTTTTAAAGGAGTGGTGAATTTAAAGGTTCATCCCTAGGGTGAACCTAAGTTTTGTTCATTATAGATTAGAGTAGATCCACCCTACGGGCGGGAAATAAATAATATAAATTACTTAATTTTTAATGTATTCTTAACTGAAATCAGAATTTATTTAATTTTTTTACAAATTGTTTTATCTATTTATTTTACTAATTCGTTTTAAAAATCGTGCTTATTATTATTAAATTTTTTATAGGAGATTATTATTTTGCTTTCTTTTAATGTTTATTTTAGTTTAACTATAATAGTTAGAATTAGAAATGCTCGATCATTTTAATAAATTTATAAGTAATAAGTTGTTAAGTTTGATCCATTCTAACTGAAAATATATTTAAGTTGGGTAGACTCCAAAAAATATAATAGTGATCATTACTATTTAAAATTATACATATTTTTTTAGTCT